ATTTTAGGGATACTTTCAAAATCTAATTTATCTAATAAATATTTGTCTATTTTTAAATTTTACAAAATCTGTGAGAGATGTGTTACTACAGTAGCTACATTCCCTTTCCATTCATTATTAAATATTTTATTTTATTTTTTATTTTCTAAAAATTTTTTTTATTATTTTTTTTTAAATTTTTAATATTTTTTAGTTCTTTCAACTAAAGGATTGACCCAATACTGTATGTATTGTCACAATTATTAAGCAGGTACTCTAGAAGGTCTTCAGATTCACATTTTGTGAAAATATCATTATTGTCATCATTAAAAATTTCTTCATGGTGACAATGGGAAGTGAAAGCTGCTTGAGGTTTCTCTTTAAAAAAAGACAACTTGAAAGATACTTTTTTTCTTTTTTTTTTGGGCTTTTAAGTTTAATTGAATTTTATTTTGTAAAAATCGGCACTTTATTGCACTTCAATTTTATGAGCTTATTAACATCCATTCAAGAATCCTTCTCGCTTCTGTAGTGCGAGAGATACCGTTCGTTGTAACCAGAGGCAGTTCTTACCGTTTGGCCAGACCTACTTGTAGAGAAAACCCTCTGATAAACTGGTAAACCTACTGTAACCAGCCCTCCTCTTGAATCAAATACATGAAAATAATAAGTGCTTCACATTATCATTCCCCAGTCATTGGATTAAATACTTTATGGAACTCATCTGTCTGGGAGTATACCGTAACTTTGCAGCAGCTACATCAGTGCATTTTGGCATTTAACCCTACCAGGTACCTACTTATACCCCTGGGTGGAGAGAAGCAATGCAGATAAAGTGCCTTGCCCAAGGACACAAGTGAAATGCATGAGGGATTAAAACCCTGACCTCGAGGTAGAGAGAGCGGCTTAGCTCAGTCGGCTAAACTGGTAGTAGGCACTGTGTGTGCGCTGAACCGTGGAGATCTATTGGTCCCCGGTTAAATTTCCATCGCTGCTCTCCTTGTATTTCAGCTAAAGGGCTGAATTGCAAGTTACGATAGCGCACCGTCTTTTGGATGAGACATTTAAGCCATTGGTCCCATGTGCATTTATGGCCCATGTGCACGTTAAAGAACGCAGTACACTTCGGAAAAGAGTAGGGGATTGTCTCCCGGTGTACTGCCCAATCACGACCAGAAGGACGCCACTGGAAATTAAGTTATCAGAAGTTTGTGGGTTATCCTTGGTGTTTACACTAAATAAATCCAGTTCAATCCATTAACCCAACCGTTCCCAGTCTTCCCCTGGACTCTACCAGAAGAGCCTACTGTACATGATAGAACCCCTGACTATCCCAAAATCCTGGCTATGGCCTGAAATCCAAGATTTGAGACTCTTGCAGGAATTTCATATAATGTGGTATAATTGACTAAATTGAGCAATTAATGATATTCTATCAGTCAGTGTGAAAGTGGATAGCCCAGTCATGCAGCTTGCTCATGTCGTCATGTTGGTTTTCATGTCGTCTGATCATCAAAAAGGTGAGAACTTAATGACCTTTCATATTGTTGCAGATCATTGTTTGTGGGATAGTGGCAGACTTGTATGATTTGTCCGTGACACACCAATTGGCACAGTGCACTCATGAACAATGCTATTACCGTTGTTTATCTTATTTCAGTTTACCCAATGAATTTAACCATGGAGTTAACCGAAAGAATAACACAACCTCTCCAAGTCTTCAAAACATATGAAGGTCTTTCACTTTTTCCGAAGGTGTTGAACTTGTATTGTTATTAATTTCTTTGCTACAGCCCATTGTTGTTCTGTCATTGTCTCTGTCACATGGCTTTGTAATCACACTAAGCAACTGTTTATTCAGGTATGCTGTTAATGGGGGGTTATGACCACACTTTGACCTTTTTCTTTGTTTCTTTATCAATATTATATTTTTCTTTTCCTGTCAGCTCATCAAGGATATGGTGTAAAGTAATTGTACTTATGAAGAGCCATTCTGAAGTCTCTCATTCTCAAGTGTTTTTTTTTTTAATAATAAGAAACAAATATATAAAAACATACTTTTCATTTAATGATAATTATGTGCAATTTATAAAGTATTGTGTCAAAAGCAGCCCTAAAATAATTCTTTAATTGATAAATAAAATAGTTTTTTTGAAATATGAAAGTACTGTATAAATTTTTGCAGCTACCGGTATGTGGTAGAGTGAATCCCCTTCCTTACTGTAGTACAGTTCCTTTAAACATTTGCATATTAAAACAGAAGACTGCATTATACAGTAGATGGTGTTAGTACCATTCCAAAACCAGGGTTTTGTTGTTAATTTTGGGTGTTGACCTTTTCCTAGTGCGAGTACTCAAGGATGTGTAGTAGATTGCTGGGTGTTAGTAGTACGGGCCCCTTTGGAATCTGGGTCTAGGGCCCAAATACGTTTCACACTGAACATTATTAAAATATCCTGAAAAGAATTTGCTGTATGGGCCTGTTTATGAAAATAGGATCCTAAAAGAGAAACATTTTAGTTGTCACTTTCCATTTAACTACAGTAATTCAAAAACATAATGAGAATGAAAATTTCCTTTCATTTAATGAGGCCTGAGGTAATGTTTGAATGTCTTGCGAATACAAAACAAAAGTAATGCAACAAAAGTTCATTTCAAGTGTCGTCTTTGAAATTTGTTATAGGGCCTGATTTTCTTTTTTCATTTTTTTAATGAAAGAAAAATTGTTGAGAATCTTCAAAATCATTGTTGATAAACTTTGGAAAGAATTTTGATAAAACATTTTATTTTGCAAACAATTTGTCCCGTAACTTGAACTAGCAACGTAGAATGTTTTTTTGTGTGTGTGTGTGTGTGTAGGTTTCACTATTTCGTTTATTTATATTGCATTTTCAAGAGGGTACTGCATTCAAATGTATTATTCAAAATGGACAATTCTTCAAAAGAACTATATCTACAAAGAGGTCCTTTAGAAAAAATAATGACAAGGTAAACTATAACATCCTCAATGATTGCCTCCTCAAATTCCCATAACATTTAACTAAATGCCTCGCAACATTTTCACTTTCATTTAACAAAGTGCAGAGCACAGGTATATGCTAGTTCATTATAATTATTGCAACCATAAGATTGATAATATTTTTCCCATGAGGAAAAACTGAATTTTTAACTATTCCTTTTTTGTGTAAAATCATCACAAAGCAAAAGTGGTGACACCAAAATTTGTCCGATGGCAGAGGACGGGTGATGCTTCAGAGACTCTCGATAGTGTCCAGAGGGCAAGTTCTCAAGGGGCTCCGACATTAGAGATTTTGAGTGCTTTCTTGATCCGTGATCGATCTTGCAGCCTCCTATTCTGTAAACTTTATAGATTTTTCTCCTTAACGAATTGTGTTTTAAATGTTAATTTATTCTTGATTCTTGAGTTGGGCTGCCCCACTTCAAAAGGGCCCAGTGTTGCGTCGTGGTCTTCACTTTTTACTTTTCATTATTACTTTTTTATAATTTTACTTCTTCTCGCAGGCCAGAATAAACTGCTCTGTGGGTGCGTTAGTCTGCTGTATATAACAATACAAGAAATGACAAATCTCTGCACTTTAAAGGCTAACTATAATATTAATGTTACTGTAGCTCTTATTTAGAGCTAATAAATATTATAGTTAGTCTTTAAAGTACTGAGATTTGTATAGTCTTTATGTGAAATAATGTATGTTGGACCCAGGTGGTGCTATGTGTATGAATGTTGGAATGGCCCACATAAATGAAACGATTGATTGATTGATTGTTTTAATGAATTAACTATGATGTGAATTCATGTGTATCTGTCTTTTTGGAAGTCATCCAGATTCAGATTTATATTTCAAAATAAGCTTACTGTTTTACTTATTATATTATTGGTACCAGTCATATGTTAAAAGGAGAGAATAATTTTAATTTAAAATTTTTGTTTTTATTTAAATGTACTTAGTAGTGCAAAAACTTTTAATTGATCAAAATGAAAACATTACAATTTATACAGTACTTCAAAACTCAACGTACAAGTTTGCTGGTAGTGCTCATTCCGTCTCTCTCTCTCTCTCTCTCTCTCTCTCTCTCTCTCTTTTATTTATTTTTTTTTTAGAACCAGAATGTACATAGGTGATTATATAAGGTGTTGGCATCATTATTTCCCTAGTCATTGGATACTGAGAATGGGCAGACCTGCACATTGTGCAACTTTCTCCCTGGGGAGTATCCCTGGTCATTGCTGCTTGTATGCACACGATTCACAACATTCAGTGCATTACTATCCTACCAGTTACCCATTTGTACTCCTGGGTGGAAAGGGCCCAAGGACACAAGCAAAGCATTGAGTGTTGGTCTCGAACTCCAGATCTCACAACTTTAAATTAACTGTTTGCCATGCAACGCTTTCATAATTTGTTGGTTCTTGAAGCTACAGGTAGTACTGAATTAATGCAGTGTAGTAAGCAATATAAATCTTGTGCCATTTGCTCAGAATTGCAAAAGTAGAACATTGGCAACTCTGAACAATCCAATGAAACTTTTTCAGTTAATTCTTATCACAGGTGTGTTGGCTTAATTTGCTTAAACTCTCAAAACTCACATTGCTCTTTAACTGGCCAGTTGCCAAAGTTCAGTTTCTGTTAAGTCGCACGGCTGGAAAACAATGTGTGACCGCACATTTCATTTCCCCCCCCCCCCCAACAACCGCTGATGGGCTTCTACAGTTTACTTTACATTACACATTTGTTGCTTACTTTACACCACTACTGTTGGGCTATAGGGTGTACAGGCAACATTTGGTGTTGGAGACATTTTATTGGTCAGATGCACAATTTTTTTTTTTTGCAGGTCTGTTGAGTGTAGTTGCAAAGTATTATATTTTAAAGATGTGTCACAAAAAATTATTTACAGAATGTTATGATTTGTAATTTTTCCACAAGGAATTTAATTACCGACAAATATATTGTACAACAGTTTTTATAATTTTCATCATTAGAATTCATTGATCTTTACAGTGGACGGAGATGTGCGACTAAGCGGTGGCCGTAATCCCCTAGAGGGCAGAGTTGAAGTTTATTTTAAGGGAGAGTGGGGGACAATTTGTGATGATGATTGGGGAATCCAGGATGCAGATGTTGTATGCAGACAACTTGGATACAACATGGCTGCCAGGTAAATAAAAATCCAATCGTAGGGTATCATGGCAATGCCCTTATTTACCATTAATGTAAGCTTTGTAAGACACACTGGATATTCCATTATAATCACCTCTGTGCTCTGCTGCCCTCAATGTCAACTTTTTAAAATGACGTACAGTAATTAGCTTATCAGTATTAGTATGGTAAAGCAGCATGATTTACTGCAGTAAGTGATTTTTTTTTTGTTAAAATGGTCGCAGCTCCACTCTATGGTAGTGGCACAGACTAGACAGGGTTACAGCACTTTTTTGTGAACTAATGACTTCCTACTGACCAATCAAGTAGGTAAGTATTGACCTAGGCATACACCATAATATAAATAATTTTAACTAATCATATACTTTTAATAATGTGTATTATAAGCCATAAAATTATTAACATATAACAGAGATGTAAACAAAATTTGACTACCCTAGATGACTGTAGCATAAATGGTGAGATGACTGCCCCATAATTATAGCATGGAGGTATAAAAAAATAGTACCTCTAGATGATTGTCTCATTTGATGTAGTGTTAGTTACAGTATTGTATGGCTAGGCCTACTAATAGTTTAGATGACTAATACAGTTTGTGAAAGATGATTGACAGATAAAATTAAGATAGCTTGCAGCTACAGTGAACACCATCTCCCTGGTGTAGCTGAACTGCTTGCAGCTAATCAGTGCCTCCCTGTTGTACTGTACAGTTTTCGACTTATCAGCCCTGGGCAGTAGTGGAGTACAATGCTGCTGTAATTATACAATAATTTGTGTTGGTTCATTGACTTCTACATTTTTGTGTTTGTTAATCAGTGTGACAGCGTCTGCTGTACACTTGTGTATTTGATACAGATCTGATCAAGGCACAGTACTGTTCCTTGATCTGATCAGCATCTTTGTTAACTAATACATTTTATAAAAAGTCTAAATAAAAAATTAAAGAAATAAATAAATAAAGCTACATAATAATATAATAACTTGTGAAAAAAAAAATACAAATTGCAAACACTAACTGAATAAAAAATTACTGTTTGATTAAAATGAAATCAAAATGACAATGAATTGATTAGAATGAAATCGAAATGATACTGAATTAAATAGCAAATACTGTAGATGAAATGTGTATTTTGAAGTGGCAATGCTAGCGAGTGGCCAGATAAGTAATTTCCTCCTTTGGACAATCATGGTTACACTGTGTATAATTGCACCAGCCTCCACATTTGTTTGTCTAGTTGCTGATCCATGGTGCGGTCAAGGGCCAATCTCTTTTGTCATGGTGGCTGCAGTCCCCTTTACCGTCAGGGCGATTTTGAGTGTGGGGCCTAGAGTTCATCACACGACAAGGCAAAAAAGTACTATTTTTCAGGGGAATAGTATATATCATTGTTATCACTGATATAGAATATGAACCAATTTAATTGAGATGAAAGTAAGAAAACAGAGGGTGGTCAGAGAGAGCTTAATAATTATCTGTTTTGATCAAATTTTTAACATTTTTGAGTTGGAGGTCATTCAATCATTACAGTACTTGATAGTACAGTATAACTCAATTCTTTCAATATAGCTTTGTAACACTTTTTTTAAGGTTTGTCAGATGGGCAATTACATTAGAAATTACATTAATTAAAATATATTTAAACTATATTTTGTGACATCAGTATATTTAATACCGTGTATTGTCAAAGGTTATTTAATGATCTAGCTTCATATTTCTTTGTATAGGTTGGGATGTTGCTTGTCCTTTGGTCCAGGAACTGGACCAATACACGTGGATAACTTAGCCTGTCGAGGGGATGAGCATTCCATGGAGGAGTGTCCATTCAATGGTTGGGGGCGCCACAACTGTGGTCATTGGGAAGATGCTGGAGTTGTTTGCACAAGTAAGTTTCACATAGAGTCAAAAGAAATTTGTTGGCTAAGACTAACCCACCCAAAGTCTATAAAATCTAAGGTTGACTTTATAATTTTTTATTTTATCAAGAAGAACTCTTTTCATACTTGATATTTAAAAAGACCAATTTTCAAGTATATATAATAAATTGGATATCAGTCATGGATTTTCGCCATGTTGTTATACAGTATTAAAATTTTACCAACCAAAAGTGAGCATGAGTAAAAAAAAGTAAATGATAAAAAATGTTGCAACCAACTGATCTCAATTTTAAAATTTTACTGATCTTCAACATTATAACAATTATGATGTTCTACTGCAGTGCAGATATTATAAAACTCAAAGTAACAGTTATATTAAATACAAAGATTTTCACTGTGTACTGCATAATTTTTGTTGTCTTCTTCTTCCTGATGGAGGACCAACTTCACAGTTAAAGCTTTGGCCTGAGACAGATATGGACTAATCATTCTTATAACATACTTCTCCCTTAAGGGTCCCGTTGTGTCATGCGCAGGTCAAGAAGGCGCGCTGTTTACTCCACAGTGGCAGGGGCTGTGAGATGTACCAGTACACCAGGGTAACCCCCTACTCCTTTTGAAAGATGTACTGGGTTCCGTTATATTGCAGATGAGCCAATTGTGTACACTGGGCCTACAGTTTATAGTCCTTACTCGAGAAGACTTGTTCCACCTTCAGAACCATAGTGTGCTGTTCGAATCAGCGCTGTTATTATGGGTGTAGGTTGCGGTGCTCATGCCTTAACCTTTGACTCACTGTCAGGTTGACTTCTTTAAAATTGCATTGAACAAGAAACCTGATGAAATTGTTTACTCATTTCTGAGAATATTTGAATTACTGTAGTTTGTGTAATTATTGAAAATTAGAACAAGGAAATATTTGTTTTTTGGCGATTGAAATGAAATAATACTGTTAATTTTGTCTTTACTATTCTGCTTACTATCATTGTCCATTACCATTTAGTAATGAACTTTAATGTTTATATGATAATCTGTACCAAATGACAAAATATCTTCTTTTTTTTCACAAACTCAAATCTTTTTTGTTAAAAGACCCAATTAGGTTAAAGGAAGGCTTAACACCACTTGATGGGCGAGTTGAAGTGTACATGAATGGCAACTGGGGGACAATATGCAATACAAACTGGGGAATCGAGGACTCCTTGGTGGTGTGCCGGATGTTAGGAGGATACACAGCCAATAATTATACACAAACCGTTATACCAGGCACAGGGGCGGTTCATTTAGACAGAGTGCAGTGTAATGGGACAGAGATTGTACTCGATCAATGCCAAAAAGATGCTGAGGTTGAAATCAGCTGTTTAGATCATACGCAGGATGTTGGTGTAAACTGTTCGAGTGAGTAAAATAAGCAGTCTGATTGGCTGTGGACTTTTGCATACAGAGCTGTTTTGTGTTTGTAATAGTTTCGACAATAAATAATTGAGAAAATATTTGATAATTTAGGATTATAAATATTTAAATAATATAATAAAATCTTTGTAGCTTGATGGTAAAGATAATTGAACACCACGTGCAATATGGCCCATGTAAAGATTGTAGTACTATACACTCTTCTGGGAAAAAAAAGGGGATTGTTTCTCTTCGACCAATCACCACCAGAAAGACCACACTGGAAATAATCTTGAACTTTCATGGTTTATTCTTTGAACCGAATAAACCCAATCCCATTCGACCGTGGTTTGTTATTGTGCTACAATAATTCTTCGCCCTTGTGCCTAAACAAATAAAAAGAATATAATTTAAATGTAAAAACATGTTTTTGTATTTCTTATGTAATTCTCGATGTTTATTATGCATATAAACGAGGGGCCCCATGTCTGGGAAACAGAATCTTTGCTCTATGACTGCATTATTAATTGTCTCCCTCAAGTTAACTGGTCTTACTTGTCATCTGCCACTTTTATCTTCTAAATCATGTGAAATGATTACGTCAGTCTTTTCGCTGAATATGGCTAGAACAGTATCCTCTAAGCTATTTTTTTTCAGGAACATGACCGTCTGTTGCAGCTGAAGCGTATGTCTGGGAAACAACCGTAAGCGTGGTGACTAAAACATTATTATTCCAACTTGTATTGTTCTAGATCATTCACCATGGTCTCTAAGAATGAGATTGCCATAGGGGTGTTACAATAAACTAGGATAGTATTTTCGGTGCAAGTCACACCAAGGACAAGTCTGAAGACTTGCTTCCAGTGAGGTCCTTCTGGTGGTGAATTTGGACAATATAATGGGAGACAATCCCCTACTCTTTTCCGAAAAGTGTACTGTGTTCTTTAACGAGCGCATGAGCCATAATGCAAACAGGACAAACGGTTTAAATGTCTCATCCAAAAAAATGGTGCGCTATCGTAACTTGTATTCAGCCTTCCAGCTGAAACACAAGGAGAGCAGCGATGGGAATTGAACCGGGGACCAAGCGATCTCCACGGTTTAGTGCACACACAGTGGCTACCAGCAGTTTAGCCAACTGAGCTACAACTGTTAAGAAAGCTCATTAAACCATATCTTCTGGAAGTGGCTCCTTCCAGCTTTGGTCTCCTGATAATACATTTTATGGTTTATAATATGCCAATGTTGCCTTTTTATTTGTAGTTTTTTTCTTTTAATGTTGTTTCTTTAGGACATATACGATTAGCCAATGGAAACCATCCGCTGGAGGGAAGGTTAGAAGTCTTCAACCATGATCAATGGGGTACAGTCTGCGATGACAGGTTTTCTGCCTCCGAAGCTGAAGTTGTTTGTCGACATCTTGGAAACTATGTACCTGACCCAAGTAAATCATACTCATGTTGTGCAAGGTTTGGTGAGGGGAAAGGTCCAGTTCAGATGACCCAATTAGTTTGTACCGGCAGCGAAAAGAAAATAGAAGACTGTCAGTTTCAAAGAAGGAATCATAATTGTCCTCATACAGAGGACATTAGTGTCCACTGTTCAGGTAATCCAGTCTTCAGAATGAACAAATTCTATTTAAAATATTTGATGTGACATCTCTTGATAAGCTTTGGAAAGTGTATTCAACCACCATGGATTTTTTTTTTAGCACTTAGAGGTCACATTTCTTGTACAAGCATTGGTAGGTATTATATCCACTCTGTGTTATCCTAGTATGTGAGATGACATGTCTCTTACAAACTTCGAAAAGCTAATCCACCATTATTTCTGCCATTACTGGAGGCCACACTCTTTGCATAAAGTGTATCTAATCACCATGGGTCCTCATAGTCCTAAAGGTAATATTTATTGCACATATTTTGGTAAGGGACATATTGCTCTTTAGTCCGTTCATCATGTAATAGAAAGGTATTCACCATATACTTGATGACTCTTTTGCAGGCTTTTCTTAAAAGGTTTCTTTAAATTCTTGAGAAAAACAATAATATGTTCTTCCACAAGAAATGTTTCAAAAGGAGCTTGTATGTAGCACTTGGCCTAACCAAAAACTCTAAATTAAAATTAAAAGATTGAACTACATGGTACAAGTTTAAATCTTTATTAAAGAATGGACACTTATAAAAATCCAATTCTTTTGGTCATTATTATGAATTTCTTTTTAGTAGGCTTCTGAAATATGGTGAATATATAAAAATAAAATAATGCTATGGGACCAGGTACTGATTTTCCTTTCAGACCTTCGATTGTCTGATGATTACAGTAGTCTTCAAGGCAAGCTGGAGTATATTGAAAACCATGAATGGGGTGAGATCTGCTCCGATGACTGGGATATTAATGATGCAAACGTCGCCTGCCAGCAGCTGTACAATACAACTGCTACATCGATATATTTCAGAGATTCTCGGACGAGTGTACAACCGTTGTTTGGCGGCTTCCAATGCAATGGAACAGAATCTAGATTGTCTGCTTGCCCTAGGTCAACCTATGACATATGTACAAGTAGACATGTGGCCGGTATCAAATGTAAAGGCAAGTTGTGTTTGCGTCATGTTTATTTTCCGTCAGAACAACACTCACTATTCTCTCCAGCTGGTGGAGAAGGTTGCACCAAATTCAAACCATCTGGAATTTCCATCTTATCCTGGAAAATGGTATGGTCCAGATTGTTTGTAAAATGTTTCAAAACTTTAGACAAAATCATACTCGGACCACGATGCTCCATAAGCCATGATTTAAGAGAATGTCAATATTTTCCTCTACATACCTTTTCAAAGTGAATGTGATAGACCACCCATCAAAGCTATTCAGTGTTTAACTGTATAATTAAAATCTTGGATAGATGCATCTCCATCAAACTTTCATGATCATTATTGTCATTATCATCTTCTTCATCACTGTTGTCATCATCATACTCATCATCGTATTGTTCATCATCATATTTAATATTATTTATTATAATATATTTACATATACATATTATGTAAATATAGTGTTACACTCAAATATAGTAAATAGAGTAGTACATACTCTACATATATTTTTTAAAAGTGAAAAATTATCAATTACATTATAAATTATTAAAATATTTATATGTATATTCATACTGTTCAGGACTGATAAAAGTTCGCCTGCAGGATGGGCCAAATACAATGGAAGGCCGTGTTGAGATATTTTTTAACGGTGAATGGGGCACAGTTTGTGATGACGGTTGGAGCATAGAAGAGGCTGCAGTTGTTTGCAGACAACTCGGCAACTACGATGTAAGATCTGCCAAATGTTGCAGCGAGTATCCAAGCAAGATTAGTGGCACTATTCATCTGGATGATGTGTATTGTCAGGGAAATGAGAGGAGGCTGGAGTTATGTTCCCATAATCAGTGGGGTGAACATAATTGCGGAAACCATGAGAATGCAGGCGTAATTTGCTCAGGTAATTAATTATTCTGGATTGTTTTTCTTTATTATACGTTGGTTTGGAGCAGTTTGGCGCAACGGTTGTGGTTCTGCTTCTCAACCTTGAGGTTGGAGGTTCAATCCCTCGATGTGCTTTTTGCTTGTGTCTTAAGCATTTCACTTTACCTGCAGTTGTCTCTCTCCACCTAGGAGTACAACTGGGTACCTGGTAGCTTCAAACACAAAAAAGTGCTAATTACACCTACAACATTCCCTCCCCAGGGACTTGAATATGTATTCCATATGTGTGTCATCCAATGACTGAGGGTAATAATGTTAAGTGCATAAAGGTCTCTACAATATGCACTCTATAAGTCGACCATTTTTTAAATTTTTTTATTATTACAACGCCAAATGGTTCTTATTTTAGAAGTGGACAATGTGAAGTACTCCAAGCATTTTTGTATAAAGTGAATGTTTTGTTGGTTATTATTATAATGTAAAATAAACCATTAAGTCCCAATTTGTATCCATGCCTCCATCTAATTATGGCAATGCTAAAGTTCAATTTGCATTCATGTATTTTCAGATTTGAGAATACCATCAACAAACAACCAAGCAACATCGAACATTGGCCCAATCGAGTTGCTAGTTGATGGAAGGTGGGGGCATATTTGTGCTGAGAATTTGACCCTTGCTGCAGCCAACGTGACGTGTCATCAAGTTCATAACACTGATGTGATATCCATACAGATATATGAAAGTCCGGCAATTCCAAGAATCAGCTACTTGGATTGTGACGGTCAAGAGAGTATGATTGCGAATTGTTCCCAGGGTACATGGGTGAATACCTCATGTCCAAGCGGTCATATTGGTGGTGTTCTATGTCATGGTAAAGTACAAGACAAAATCTATATGTATGTAGCTATGTACGTAGTGTTAAAGATAAATAATAACTAATGGTGTTGTTTGTAACGCGTTGATTGAATTTTGCCCACAGAATGTTTATTAAATATTATGCGTAGTCTAGAAATACTCCATTCTAAATATTCAATCATGGATAAAACAGGTTTTGTGAAGTCTGTAAGGTTCAACACTAGTCACTGAGCCAAGCTCGGTAATCTAGTGGCTATGGCACCAGGCTAGTTATCTAGAAGTTGGGGGGTTCAATTCCCACCCGAATCACTTACAAATTTTTTTGCAATTATTTTGGGACGTACTGAGTATTCGGTACAATAACACATCAAGTAGGGACAAAACGTCACTCCTATGTATTTTCCTGATGCAAACTCACATAGAAATAAAAAAATGTGATATAAAGAATAACAAAATATATTAATTACAGTAATTACACAAGAATGTTGATCATGTTTGTTGTATCATTTTAATTTTAATTAAAAACTGGTAAAATAATTCCATCTTTCTCTTGCAGCAGCAAATAAGGTCAGGTTAGTTGGTGGCAGTACACCTCGTGAAGGTCGAGTAGAGGTCAATCATGAAGGGGAATGGGGTACTATATGTGATGACAATTTTGATTTGCCAGAGGCTGAGGTAATTTGTAGACAGTTAGGTTTCATTGGAGCTCACACAGAAAATTGTTGTCAGAAGTTTGGTCCAGGCAGTGACCAGATCTTTCTGGATGACCTCAGCTGTGTTGGAACAGAGTTTAGCATTGAGTTGTGTGGGCATCGTGGATGGGGGAGTCATAACTGCGGACACCATGAAGATGCCGGCGTCATCTGTCAAAGTAATTTGATTCCAGGTAATTTTCTAACATCTGTGTTAAATATTCCCCTCTCCTTAGAATGGAATAGACCAAGTTGTTCATAGGTCATGATTCCTTATGACAAGATATTCCAATTGCACTGCCAAAATGAAAAATAAAGTCTGTGGTATCTAAATACACAACACTCTAGGCATGTTCTTTTTAACTCATGTTTTAATAATAGTGATGATAATAATGCAGAATTTGTTTTGAATGTGCCCATGGGAAAATGGCAAATATTATTACCATTACTCTGGTCATTGGATCTGTAAACAATCATATTTATTTATGATCTCCAGGGGATCCATAATCACGCACCATGTACATAATATAACACCACACAGTAGTTTGCCAAACCTTCAGGTATAATGCATCCTTATAATAATATTAATTTTGACTAGGTTTTTTTTAAACCTTGCAATTTCTGAGGCATGAAAAAGGTTGGATACCTGTGCCTTGCCAAATTTTTATTTCATTTATTTATTTATTTATATATGAAATTAAAAAAAAATCAATGCAAACAAATTGCAGAACACAACAGAAAAGGTCTCCAAATGTAAACTTGAACATCTTTAAATTTGGTTTGGAAAATCCTGACATATCAATAAAATATAAATATGAAAATAATCCTACAGAAACGAGCAATTCCAAATTTATTTAATTATTATTATTATTTTTTTTATTTTTTTTATTTTATTTATTTATTTTTTTTATTTTATTTTAAAGGTGGTAATATTTAATTGTGTAAAAATATCTTTTCTTGTCTGAAGTGGATTCTAGAAATTTTCTGAAGTTTTCACTGTCAATCAAAAATTGATTGATGATGATTGACATTTGATTAAAATGATTGACAGTAGATATATGATGTCAGATTGGAATCACTGGCAAATTTTGCCTGAGGAGGTGGTATATGTAATTGATTGCTTGTTGTCAGGATATTTCTTTGGCATTCCAGTGTAATTTTTGCCTCAAGTGAGAATAGATAAAACAGCATCTGTAAAATTTGAGTTTGTATTATATTCTGTTCTTTTTATGAGTGTTTTTACTGGTTGTTCACAAAGAAAAATACACAAGTTTAACTGACATAAAGGAACATGTGCCTGTGTAATTCTGGTGTAGAACTAAAAAAGAATGCTTATTCTCTTTCTATAATTTGACCTTGGAGGTTACCTTTATTGTAAAGTATTTTAATAGGGAGATTTCGATTTGTGCAACGACGCTAGAACAGAATCACTCATGCGTGACCATTCTACCTGGCGTCCTACATTCTCTGCATACGTAGACTTGGCCTAATTATGTTCCAAAATCTACTCTGCGAGGAGACCTTAACGTGCTTGCATGCACAGATGACTTTTAGTGACATCATTACGTTCTACGTCCTACCGTCGTCGTGCTATCGAAAGCTCCCAAATGGTGGTGGTTAAATGTTTTGTTCTTTTTGTGAAAGGCTTCTGAATATCACCTACCACTGGAACTAGAAGAGTTACTCTCAATAAAAATGTTGAAATTAATACAACATATAAAATTTGAAAAAATACCCAGTACATTAAATATATTTTAATAATGTTGATCACAATTTTTAGTATACTCTGCTTGCGCAGATATACAAAATTTAAGTTAAGGTTCATATCAGTTCATTTCATTTGACAGGCATGTCAAGTACAGTGTGAATGTAGTTTTAACAGGGAGTTCGTAATTGGTCCTACGTTTCGATGGATGGCCAATGGCTGATAGCATCTAGTCCAATATTGTTCAATAATGGAATATGTTTATAGTAATTTTCACTTAGTTTCTGCAGTATTCTCATGCTCCTATCAGGAGCCTATTTTTGAAAATTATTAACAAAGTGTGTGTTTAAGAGTTTGTTCCGTGATTCTAATTCATAGATTTTGTATTTTTTTATAGATGAAGATGAGACATCGGGGGAACCACCAATACTTCAAAGTAAGTATAATTGAATAATAGCTTGTATCGTCTTATCATTATTAGTGTTGTTGTCAGTATTGTAACGCCTATGTGTTCTCGGGGGTGAAACCCTGGGTCCCCCTGTCCAAAGGGGCCCCTGAGGTCCCTTCTACTAATATACTGCACTCTTTTATTCAGAGCCTTGACATTATAGTCCAATAGAAGACACCAAGCTAACAAATTAAAACAATGTAATACCACATGTTTAACCCACGAAAGTGGACTCATATGACAAAACTTGTGACTTCATTTACAGTGTAATTCCCTATAAAATGTTCCACAGCCGGGCTCTTACAAACATTTAAATAATCCGATCCAATACAATGAAGTCAGGGGCTGCTTCACAGAGAATTCAAATTAAATTATAGTAATATAACACTCTACAGTATTGCTTAATATTCCACTGTGAAAGGTGCCCCTCATAATCAACTACCTGTGACTCATCATTACTACACACCACTGGGTGTTGTCTTTGCCATCCTCTCCGCAGCCCTTATTTCCACTGATGTAATCATTATCGTTCTTATCATTCTTTTGTATATTATTATTACTTTGTATTTATTCATATTTTAAAAAAAATTATTTTCTGTCACTCTGTTTTTCTTAATATTGAATTTAAGATTACGCCAGTCTGCTTTTACCATGTTTTTAGGTTCGATTCGGCTCAGAGGTGGCTCGTCTGTATTATCAGGTCGTGTTGAGGTCTTAAAAGATGGCAATTATGGTACCGTCTGCGATGATGGGTTTGGCTTAGAAGAGGCAACAGTAGTCTGTCACCAACTCGGGTTTGCTGCTGCTGATCCCGTAGACTGCTGCCCTTCTTTTGGAGGTGGTTCAGGCCAGATCTTACTCGATGGTCTTCAATGCCGTGGTAATGAAGAAGATTTGTTTAGTTGTGATCACACAACATTACATAACTGTGAACATTATGAAGACGCTGGTGTCAACTGCTTAAGTATGATCTTATTAATCTACATTTTTTATGCCATCAGTGATAAGCTAGACCACTGAATAAAGAATGAAATTCAGTATTTCAATTGCTTCATCTGTGTATTTAAGCAAATTATTAGCTTTCAACTCCAAATTAAAATGAGAAATAATTTTCCTTGCTAATTAGCAGATGTAGTTATCCCTATATTTATTTATTTATTTTGCGAATATACTCCTTTGAAAGAGTGGTGCGTTCAACTTATAAGAAATAACAAAATACAGTTTGAATTACAAGTTTAGTATACAAAAATGAAGATTAGAGGTGAGTCAGATTTGATCAAATACAAGAGGAACCATAATATCAAAAAGCACACACAAAGGAAACACAAAAACTACAACTATAATATACATAAGAAGACACACATACATATAAATAGAAATACACATACAAATGTATACACACACACCTTGCACAAACCCACAAACACATACTGATACATACATTCAAAAACACAATACAAAAAAAATATTACATAAATACACACATCTACACAATCTCTGAAAAAAATGTGCATGTATAATGTCACAAACTAAAATGTACGTACAATATTAAAAATACAATTCACTTAAATAATACCATTGGAAATTAACTAAAACTAAAGAAGAAAAGGTATGTACAGTGTAATTGTTTCAACACTATAAGTTATTAAAGTATTTGATATTTTTTAAATATCTGTTGTTTTAATCAGAATTTTTTAAGAAAAAATTTTAGAATACATCTTTCAGATCTTTAAATATCTTAGAATAATTTTGAGTAGACATACTGTACAAGTCTGTAAAATGGTGGTCAATATAAACTGGCAGTACATTACTGACTAATTGTACATTTATTGATACACCAGCTTTTGTACACACCATTGTCTTTAACCTGGTGGTCAGGGGCTTGAACCTTCGCTGTGCATTTCTATTGTGTTCTTGGACAAGGCGCTTTACCTACGTTTGACTCTTTCCCCGGGGAGCACACTTGTATAGCAATCTTACATGGGGTGGGGGGGTGGAACATGAGACATTTGTGCTACCTATTTTACTAAAAATTATTATGGACTTGAACTAACATTTACCAAAATCCGGTGTCGGTTGAACTACTATTACGGCCATGTAACGTACCAAATGTAACTCTAGGTATTGTCCACACTTGTCATCACAAATATACCCTATACATGCTGAAACTCTTCAATAAATTTCCACACTTATGCTACCAAGTCCTCAAAAATACCCCCGTAAATGTGGCACCTACCCGTATAGACATATGAAGAGCACCCCCCAACCCTTCTGTTCTCCTAAGGAGTATAAATGGATACCTGGTTGAAGTATACTATGGAGGTTAAAAGAGTCGGTGTGGAAAGGTACTAGTCACTATGGCATGTCGTAGTACAGTGTGCTCTTACCTCATACGTTCAGAAATGAATTAATTTAACTGTCTTAACCTTTACTTTCATGCTCTTTCTTGTTAAGAAGGTTACTGTGTGAAATAAAAAATAAGTTTTCTCATGATATTCAATTTCTAATTTTACAGGCCAAGTTCCAGGACCATTGCCAGGAATTCCCTCTGGTAGGTTTTAAGTTTTTAAGTATTAAACTGTTGAATTCAAATGGCTAAACTGTTGGTAGTCACTGTGGCTAAGCCGAACTAGAGAGGTCCAGAGATGGCACAGAGGAAGTAGGCTAAGTGACTGAATAAGTTTTGTTTTGTTCGTTAAGTGCGAAATCACAGTGGAAGATCCGTCTTCAACCAGATGTCTGCAGGTTGCAGTTGAAGTTAGGTCTTTTAGGTGAAGGTTGACTGGCATTGTTGTCGCAGATTTGGACTTGATGTGCTGAAAACAGCATTGGTGTGGTTTAACAGGGCTGCCACTTCATGACCCCAAGGTTTCTTTTAACAATAAGATAGTGGAGATTGGTAAAATGTTAAGTAAATGAAAGAAACAGTGATTGTTTTTTCATTGGTGGTTGGGAAGTTTATCTATATCAGTACACATTATTTCTTTAACACAATTTTAGTGATGATTATTTCTGATCAAAGTAATTTTTTTTTTTAAATTGAAGTAATCTATCAGGATTGATTTCTTATAATAAAGTGTAATTTTTCTTTATAAAAATATTTTGGTACTCTTATTCTATTCAACTAAGGCTTGGAACGAACTACCAAACCAAATTAAAATAGAATTAAATGATCTCCAACTTAAAAATTTCAAAACTTTGATCAAAACAGAAAACTAATTATATCTTTCTGACCACCTTCTGTTCTCTTGCCTTCTTTTTAATTCATTTGAATTGGTTCTTTTTTATTTTAGTTAAGTTTCTGTATATTTTTTTTATGTTTGTTTTTGTTCTACTTTTTTGCTCATGTGATCCACTAGTGAGATCAGTGCTGCGTCACTGAAAGTGTTATCACGTTAAAGGCAGAATAAATAAATAAAATATTCCTGTATTTTAATTGTATTAAAATATTCCTCTATTTTAATTGTATTAATGTATATTAAAATAAACTATTCATTTAAGTTTAATTCATTAAAAGAACACAATAAAATTTTCAATAAACTAAACAAAAATATTGTTTGTTAATCTGACCCTAAAGCTAATCTTTAACTGTTGCTCTTACTACACCTACTACAGGTGTTTTGCTATGAAAATGTTGTATGCACATATATAGTCATAATTTGATGTCATATGACCATATTTAGACATGCCACATGTTTTTGTCAAATAAGATTTGATAGTTTGGACAGGCCTTTATACTATACACTAGGATGGAAGGTTCTATTAATTTTTAAGGGATGTTTTAATAGTTCTATTTGACCAAGTATCTCAATTATAGACTAAACCTTGAATTGTGCTTTTCTTGTTATTTTATAGAGGGTGATATGAGGTTATCCGATGGTAATGCACTTCAAGGCCGTGTAGAAATCTTTCTTAATGGTGGTTGGGGAACCGTTTGCGACGACAACTTTGATATCAAAGATGCGGATGTGATCTGCCGCCAACTTGGATACAAGTCAGCCAATCCGAAGCAATGTTGCGCAAACTTTGGTGCAGGTGTTGGAGACATTCTACTAGATGATTTAGAGTGTGAAGGAAGTGAGGTCAATATTTTCAATTGCCCTCATACCAATAGGGTCAATCATAACTGTGGCCATTTTGAAGATGTTGGTGTTAAATGTATTCGTGAGTAGATTCTTATAATTATATACTCAACATTTAGGTTTAGCTATGTTTAATACAGAATCCCATGTTTTTTCATAATTTTTTGCAAAAAGTTTGTCAGATATCATATTTAGCCTTATTACATAAGTTGCCTGATCAATAATTCATTGTTGTTCACTGTTGTATATCTATTTTTTATCCTTTTTTACGCAAATATGTCCAAATTTTGCTGTTTTTCTCATCTGCATTTGCATTTAAAGCAGTTTTTTTTTTTTTAAAGATACCTGAATCCTGCTTAAATTTTAACATTGCTTTGCTTGAGTTTTAACTGGGGTGTTGAAGTACAAGTTACAATATTCTCATTGTTACTCATTTATTTATTTCTCCACAAGAAACAATATTATCATAAAAACAGTTTATAGTAGAAGGTAGGCCAAAGTAGAGTATTGCTTGTAGATTTATCGCCACGTATAACACACTGTCTGCTTGAATGAGATGTTTAAACCACTGCAATATGGCCCATGTACATGCTATAGAACGCAGTACACAGTACGGAAAAGAGTAGGTTGTTTTATCTGTGTATTGCCCAAACTATGTTAAAAGGGCATCACAGAAATTATTTTTCGATTTTCATGTGTTGTGCATGGTCTGCCAAACATTACATTTTGAAACAAAGAGTATGGAAAAAAAACATGAAACACTTTATTTTTTGTATAGGTTCTGTATATCTGAACTCTACAACACCACTTGAGGGCAGGCTTGAATTGCGTCATGAAGGGGCTTGGATTGGTGTGTGTCATGCAACGTTTACATCGAAAGAGGGTAAAGTAGGTTGTTTACATGCTGGAGGACTTGAATTTAAAAAATTTAAACCAATAGTATCGAACAAGACAGCTATTCATGTACAAAACTTGTCGTGCACAGGAAAAGAGAATTCGTTGGACGATTGTAACAATGGCGTGCAATTTGTGAATACATCTTGTGATGAAGTCTACCTCATTTGCAGAAAACGTGAGTGTTCGTAATATAAATATCATCATATTATTTATTACAATATATTCTTACGTAGAAGACAAAGACTTAAAATACCAAATTAAGATAGAAAAGCAAGGGGTCGTCCTATACGTGCAACACATACAATTTTTAATTTTTTTAATCATCCATTTTATGTGCGGATTTTCACATACATTTACTACTGAAAGACCTACTAACTCATAGTATGAATGAACGAAATTTTAAACGCAAGAATGAAAGCAATTTTAAATGCACGAACGAACGAAATAGAGAGCAGCTTAGCTCAGTCAGCTAATCTGGTGGTAGCCACTGTGTGTGCGCTGAACCGTGGAGATCTCTAGGTCCCCGGTTCAATTCCCATCACTGCCTCTTCTTGTGTTTCAACTGGAGGGCTGAAATACAAATTACAATAGCGCACCGTCTTTCGGATGAGACGTTTAAGCCGTTGGTCTTGTTTGCATTTATGTCCCATGTGCACGTTAAAAAATGCAGTACACTCTTCAGAAAAGAGTATAAGATTGTCTCCTTGTGTACTGCCCTATCACCACCAGAAGAACCCCACTGGAAGTAAGTCTTCTTCTAGACTTTCGTGGGCTATCCTTGGTGTTTACACCGAATAAATCTAATTCCAATTCCAAACGTGGGGAAATAATATTTTAATGAACATTTAAAAGCCCATAAAATTGAAAGATTAGCCCTCCATTGGGCTCTATTTGATCCAGCTAGATGCAGTGTCAGGACCAGAAATAGCAATAGAAAGTAGGAATTGCGATGGTGAAACTATCAAACTTTCTTTGAGAAAAAAAAGCTGTTGTATGCCCATATATAGTCATGTTGGGGCTACATAGGGTCATGATATGATGTCATCATACCATATTTAGGCATGTCACATATTTTTTTGTCAAATAAAATTTGATAGTCTTTGACAGGGCTGAAAGCTCTGTACACACTATCAAATCTTATTTGACAAATTTGTGTGATGTGCCATATATGGGCATCATGATGTTATATTACGTCCAAATATGGGCACGTCACAGTTTTTGGCCATATAAAATTTGGACATGGACAATTGTGGAGCAAATGGAGACCAAAAAAATATCATACTATGACTATTATGGCAATTCTCAAGTTGAATAATTAAAAGTAAACTTGGTTTGTTTGACTTTTTTTTTTTATCATAGGTACTGGGCCCCCACTTCGTCTCGTGGATGGAAGTCACCCCCTTGAAGGGCGAGTGGAGGTATTCAACCAGGGTCAGTGGGGAACGGTCTGTGATGATGGATGGGGTGTATCCGAAGCAGTGGTAGCCTGTAGGCAACTTGGAAATTATGTACCAGCGATGTTCCAGTACCCGGCACGTTGCTGTGGAGCGTTTGGAATAGGAACATTACCAATATTACTGGATAATTTGGTATGCACAGGGGCTGAGCCAAGTTTAGATCAATGCAAACATGGTGGATGGAATGTAAACAACTGTGGTCACAATGAAGATGCTGGTCTAATCTGCACAGGTGGGTCTAGTTTGCACAGGTAGTCTAATATGCACACATGAGACTAAATTGCACAGGTGTGTTGTATCTAGACAGGTGGGTCTAATTTGCACAGGTGGGTCTTACAGGACAAGCAAGTCTAGTTTGCACAGGTACTTTAATATACACACATGGGTCCAAAGGTGGGTTTCTGGACAGGTGAGTCTAGTTTGCACAGGTGGGTCTTATCTGGACAGGTGGGTCTAGTTTGCACAGGTACTTTAATATGCACCGATGAGACTGCACAAATTGGTTTGCACAGGTGGAAATATCCTGTACAGGTGAGTCTAGTTTGGACATTTATTTTTATATGCACAGATGGGACCAAAATGCAAAGGTGGGTTGTATCTGGACAGGTGGGTCTAGTTTGCACAGGTGGGTCTTATCTGGACAGGTGGGTCTAGTTTGCACAGGTACTTTAATATGCACACATGGGACTAAATTGCACAGGTGGGTTGCTGGACAGGTGAGTCTAGTTTGCATAAGTAGTCTAAGGCCTGGTTCACACGAGAGCCCTAGTATCCGGATCGGGAGCTAATCGTTAGCGCTAACCGTTAGTACCTCCATGAGAACGTCCGATCGGTTAGCGCTAACCGTTAGCAATTGCTAACGGTTAGCAAGTTGACCTCATTTCCATCATTAACCAATCAGACGTGCGCAATTCCAATGAGGCCAGGGGTTACATTTTCCCATAATTCTTTTCGCACACGTTTGTTTACTTTATTCGATCATCACATGCCGTCTGCTCTGTTTTAGTTTTTCCGCACAGGCCTTTTGTTTTTCACTGATATACGGTGATATTTTAACAAGGACGAGGAGGGGGAAACGTGCATAAGCAGATAAGGTCAAGGAATTATCATGATGTATATAGCGTATAGGCAAGAATAAAGAAAGGAGGGTACTGTTGCGAACCGGGTAGGCTAGGCCTAGCTCTGAACTCGGCTAAACAAAACATAAAATAAGTTAAATTAACATTTTACCTGAAATTATCAAGTCAATCGTCGTCATCCCATTTTTGCAATACTGTTTTTTCCCACCAATTCCGGTCTTTTTTTCCTGTTATTTTTAACCCAGAATCTACGAGTTTTGGGCCGTCTGCGTTTGTGGGTATAGAGGAGGGCTTCTCCTTCTGCGAGTAAACGCTCCTGCTCCGTTGCGTATCTAGCCTGGCTCAATTTAAGCTGGTGAAGGTTGTCTAAACGTCGCCTTCTACTTACTACAACTGTATTTAATAGACCGAAAATTAATGATAACTGAACGTTATCAAAAATATTGAAATCTATATCAAGCATCGGTAAAATAAGTGGTAACATGGGCAGACTATTCATCATGCATATGTTTCATCAACCTCAAAATTTTGTTTTCAATTCTCGCGCGAATGATCTATCGGTTGACTTCCGATTGAGTGACCTTTAAAATGACATCATTTTCTTGGTATCCGGATCGGGATTTTCTCAAATGGACACGCGCCAGCTAACGGTTAGCAGAATCCTGATTCTGCTAACCGTTAGCTGCCGTGTGAGAACATAGCCTAATATGCATGGGTGGGACTAACCTGTACAGGTGAGTCTTATCTGGACAAGTGAGTCTAGTGTGGGCTTTTTTTTTAGTATGCACAGATGTGACCAAACTGCACAGGTGGGTTGTGTCTGGACAGGTGGGTCTAATTTGCACAGGTGCTCTAATATGCACAGGTGGAATAATCTGTACAGGGTTTAATCAGCATAGGGTGGTTCAATCTGCACAAGTGGGTATAATTAGCACAGATAGGTGTAATCTGCACCGATGGGTATAATCTAAATAGGTAGGTTTAATTAGCATAGGTTGGATTAATCAGCTATAGGTGGGTCTAATTTGTGCAAGTGGGTATAATTAGCACAGGTAGGTCATAATCTGCGCTGATGGGTCTAATCTACATAGGTGAGTTTAATCAGCATAGGTGGGTATAATCAGCATATGTGGGTATAATCTGCACAGGTAGGTCTAATCTACACAGATGGGTCTTATCTGCACAGGTGGGTCTAATCTCTATAGGTGAGTCTAATCTGTACATCATATGTGCCTAATCTACACAGGTGGGATTAATTTACGCAGGTGGGTCTAATCTGTGCAAGTTGGGTCTAATTTGCACGGGCGAGTTTAAGGGCCCGTTCGAGCGAAAAAATATCTGCGATTTTCCAGTTAATTCACAGGTACACACTTTCTAAAACCTCTCGAACACTAGTCTAATTACCTTACCATCTGGGTTATCCGCGACGATTTTGACCACCAAATTGCTGGGTAGAATACCGTGTATGGAATGACCATGGAGCCGGAGGCGATGATAAATCGTATTGTAGATTTACCATTATTTGGAGAAATAAACTTGAATAAACTAGCCTACGTACGGATTTTAAAGCAGCCATTATAAGTTAAATATTGAGCTACATTATCATTCTACCGTGCCACGCTGTGTGTATGTGGGCCGGTTATAGCAGCAGTAGCAAGTAAACAAAGAATGTGTTGTTAACCATGGGATAAGTTGAAATTTACTTCCGGAGTAGTTCCATTACACGTATTTACTGTGAGTTAAAACTTGCTCGAACGGTCGACCATCCGCTGAGTGCTCAGCACGATTACCCGGTGAAATAAACGGAATACGATTGGCGTTTTTTGCTCGAACGGGCCCTAAAATGCATATTGGCACAGGTGGGTTTAATTTACGCAGGTGGGTCTAATCTCTGCAGGTTTGTTTTAGTGATTTATTCATCACAGGTTGCTTTGATCTGTATACATGCATCTGATCTGCATATTGTTTATAAAATTATCTAAACTGTTTAGATGGGTATAATTCACATGGCTGTCTTACATTTTATAAATGTTTATTCTTCACATAAATTATGTGTATAACTATAAGACTAATGTTATGTTTTCATTATTATAGTTTTTATTTGTGTCTGTACACTATCAGTTAGTACATTCCAGCTTTAATGAATCATTTTCTGCCATCGTTTAATTTTTGTTGGTAAAGATATCCGTCTGGTTGGAGGTGTGGTTGGGAGTGTGCTAGAGGGACGAGTAGAAGTTTTACAAAATCATAGATGGTTGACCATAAGCAGTGAAAATTGGACCAAAGAAAATTCAGCTGTTGTTTGTAGACAACTTTTCAACACAACAGTCGCATCAGTTTCAGAATATCAGGTATGTCAACCAGCAGTCTAATATTTTTTGTATTATTGATTTTATTATTTCTTTGTTGCTTTAAATACTTTTTGTTTTGTGCCTTTGATTTTTAGAAATATATTGAAAAATACAGTGATTATGATAGTAGTGATGTGATGATGGGTATAGCAAGTGCAATAGCATTTGCATGGCTTGGGTGATAGCACAGACTATAACGCTGATGGTAAAGGTGAATATGTTGTCATGTTATGATGATGATGATAATACTAAAGTTTGGAATAAGGATGATGATTTTGATGGTGACAAGATGATGGTGGCAAAGGGAATTATGTTAATGATAATGGTGATGATGGTGGTGATTGTTGTAATAATGATGAAGGTGATGATAATAATGATGATGATAAACATGATGATATAGTTATGATGGTGATGATTAGGACAACAATCATTACATTAGGAAGTGTACTAAACCTTTTCTCCTGGTGTGCCCAGATGTGATATGTTCAAAACAATAAAAAACTTCTCATAAAATTATATGAATATAATTTGTTGTTATACCCTAGATAAAGGCATCGCCAATGGTTACAAATGTTCATTGTTCCGGTAACGAAAAAATGCTGTCAAGCTGCGACTACAACAGTACAAGCCTTAGCCCAAAGGGTGCAAAGGCCATAGGCGTTGCTTGCTCAGGTAGAGTCATATTTTTTAGTATATTAAGGCTGTGTTCAGATCTGAGAGATATTACAAGTGTAACTAACGCTAGGCATATAGTAATCGATGGTGTAACAAGTGAGATGTTCTCACTGCGCTATTGGTGTAACGATAGCATAATTATGTGTTCAATATTCATGCTTTTAATTTCCATTTCATATCGGGGCATTTTGAGATTTGAGGGTTGTCATCCCAAAACCAGCATACTGTTGCTAAATGTTAAACTAAGTAATTAGCATATTCAATGTTGCATAATTTTGTTACATAGGCGTATATATGAAATTGGTGGCCCCCTCATTTAAAAAATTCCTTTTCCAAATATAATACTTTATTTGATCGATTCAGCAAAGGCAATTTGGCTGTAATAGTAAACCTTTGAGACTGTAGGTTCGAGGTTTGAATTTCAATATCGAGGTTGAAGAATCTTACAGTAGATTATCTTGATGCTAAGAAGCTGGGCTTGGAATAGGAATTATTGTGAGTTAATAATAAATAATGTTATATTTATATATCGCATATTGCACATTGCCCCTATGCGCTTTACAGAGAAATAATATAGGCCAACTGAGAAAAAGCAAATAACAATAAAATAATAACAATAAAATATAATAAAATAAAAATAATCATAATAGCAATAGTAACAACAAGACTAAACTACTCCTATTCCTTAAACTAATTAATGGTTGGCCGTTGACTCCAAGGAGCTCATCCGCCCTTTGTTCAGCTATTGGTTTTTCTTGCCCTCCCCTCAGCAGCCACTAAGACATATTTGAGAGGGTTGTCAGTTTAGTTGCTGACGATTCGACCGGATGGAGTTTAATGTTGTACCCAGGACGTCCCTAACTACCTTAAGCTAGGCTTAACTACTCTTAAATACAGTATATTACCCTTAACTACAATTAGTTAAACTATCCCCCGCCGGACACCATCCCGGTATTTAGCAGTTTCGGGGCCATTCTATAAACCATAACATAGTCAGTTAAATAAAATGGCTTTTGAGAAGAGATTTAAATGTAATGATGGAAGTTGCATGTTTGATGTGTAATGGGATGTTAATCCAGTTGGTTGGAGAAGCAAATGAAAAGGCACAATTGCCATATGACTGTGTGAATGTTTTAGGGGTATGAAAAAGCCCTTTAGTGCTAGAACGTAATGTTCGCTTGGTGGTGTGATCTTGTATTAAGCATGTGATGTAATGTGGTACGTTGATGCCTGGACTTATATGTAATCAAAAGAATCTTGAAAATGATCCGTTGATGAACGTTCAAGTTCAAGTAATGAGTTATGGGAAATGGTATTTGCAATCAAAGAAAGCACAATAAAATGTTGATTTCTATTGTGTTTTGTAAGGTTGTGGAATGTTCTTATTTTTTCAAAAATCAAGGCATCATCATCATCATCATTATCATCATCATCAGCAGCAGCAGCATCATCATCATCATCATCAAAGTCATCATCAATCATCATCATCATCATCATCATCAAAATCAGCATCATCATCATCATCATCATCAAAGTCATCATCAATTATCATCAGCAGCAGCAGCATCAAAATCATCGTCATCATCATCATCATCATTAGCATCAAAGTGATGATCAGCATGAAAGTCATCATTATCATCAGTCATCTTCATTATCATCAATCATGATTAATATCATTATCAACATGATTATCATATATATCAACATCATTACTTTGCACAGTATTATGAGGACCACACAGTTCTAGATTTTCATAATAAAACAACTTGAGCCATTTTTTGAGAAACCTCAAAACATTTCTGTTTTTATCCTTCATGTAAGAAATCTTTGGCAATCAAAAAATTGTAGTAATCAAAATTTGTTTTCTGACTAGAACTGCGTCTCAGTGATGGTAGCCGGGCGGGTGAAGGTCGGATAGAAGTGATAAGCTTAAGCGGGGAGTGGGCTAGTTTCTGCTCTCACGGTTTCACACAAGAGTCGGGCGATGTAGCCTGCCGCGAGGCTGGCTTCTGCTTCGCCAGTGATATTTATCATGATAAATTTGGACCAGCGCCTGGCAACATCAGATTGTCTGAACTGAAGTGCATAGGAAATGAAAGCAAGTTGGAAGAGTGCCCCCATAGACAAGGTGCATCACAGTGCTCCAACTCATATTTTACAGCTGGTGTCAGATGCAAAGGTATGTTTAGGGCAATTTATGGCTACTGCATATAAGATGGGGAATGATTGAATTTTTAAGATGATAATTGTGGTGTCATTGGGTGTTTGTATGTCTGTATAGTTTCTCACTCAACCTAACTGAAGATCATTTGAGAAAATGTATCTGTATCCTATATGAAATATATTAGTTTTTAGTACTTTTTGATGAATTAAAATATAAGAAAGATTTATAACTTCTAAAATGTTATAATTTATATGGCTCCTCGGGTTGAAAGAACTTTAAATTGCTTTATCAAGAGCCAATTAAAAGGTTGTTGAAGTTCAGGAGTCAATATCAATATTTTACCTATTGTCTGGTTAACTGAAAATATTTTACACAATTTATTCAAATTATTCAGTGTTACTATATATTGCATCCCATAATTTGTATCTTTAAATTAACTTGAGTATGATTTTAATTCTTTTTTTAAAAAATTCAGATACTTGTGATAATCTAGGGTCATTGGTGAATGGTGAGGTGATTCCTATGTCACAATCCTATGCAACTGGAAGTGTTGTTTCTTTCAAATGCAACCCAGGGTACATATTGAGTGGATCAAAAAATATTGTATGTGAAAGCTGTGTTTGGAGTTCAAAGATGCCTGTGTGTGAAAGTAAGTGGATTTTTATATTTATTTGTATAGTTTTTGTGTCTGCTGGCCCTTCGGGGTTCAGTAGACACTTTGCTGTTGTCTGGCAATTGACCTGGTAGGAGTAAATCCTGTGGATGAATGATGGGATAGGTCATTGATAGATAAAATAGGAAGATCAAAATAAATATGTGAGTTTATGAAATATGATGCCATGATAGATAAGTTCTGTGCTAGAAAGAATTAAAAAGTCAGCAATCTGTTACTTGTATGCAGTTTACTGTACAGAAAGCTGTTAGATAAGACCTGTCTTAGAAAGCTCACTAACAAGCCAACAATCTACTTGTTCACTTATGTGAATTGCCAACACAGAAAGCGTGGATGGGTTATGAAAAAATGTTGAGCAGCAGACACATGTTCCTGCTGGAGGCCTTTTTTATTTTATGAATCAATTGACTGATTGATTTATTGATTGGTAACAATTGGATTGGATTGGATTTATTCGGTGTAAACACCAAGGATAGCCCACGAAAGTCTAGAATAAGACTTATTTCCAGTGGGGTCCTTCTGGTGGTGACTGGGCAGTACACCAGGAGACAATCCCCTACACTTTTCCGAAGAGTGTACTGCGTTCTTTAACGTGCACATGGGCCATAATGCACACGGGACCAACGGCTTAAACGTCTCATCCGAAAGACGGTGTGCTAATTGTAACTTGTATTTCAGCCCTCTAGCTGAAACACAAGGAGAGGCAGCGATGGGAATTGAACCGGGGACGTAGAGATCACCACCGTTCAGCGCACACACAGTGGCTACCACCAGATTAGCCGACTGAGCTAACCTGCTCTCTCAATGTCATTATTTTCCATTACGGCCCTCCTTCAGATATTCAAGAAATTTGAATATGAGTAGGAAGGAATCATGTACTATAAAAAAATAATGAAAGTTATCAAAATTTCTAAGAACCAAAAAAATTGCATTGTATATTCGATAAATTCTGTATACAACTGTGTTTATTTGTATATAAAATGATCTATTAATAAATAATAATACATATTTTATATTCCAAAGTTGGATAATATATTTTATGAGGTGTTGAATGATGATGTTAGAGCTACTAGGCCTATTTAATGAGGTAAACTATTTTTCATTGAATAAACTATCACAAGTTCAACCACCCATGCAGTACTGACAAACGAGTCATCTATTACATTAAACAAACACCTGCGTAACCGTCATGAGGCGTTGATGCGGAACTAGCATGCTTGATAAAAGTGTCTGATCAGACACTAAAGATATATGACTTACAAGAGAAATATCATATTTCAAAATAATAATGTCAGAGAAATACCAACTTGTCAAATATGTTTCAAATACCGTTTTATATAGTCTTTAGCACAGCATTCTCGCAACCTTTCCATGAATATCTTAATTTAGAGTTTTGTATTCTTCATTTGCTTACCTGTCACAGTTTTTTCCTTGTCACACAAGTGTGATATGATTAGCATAAAGGTAACTACCCTCTCCATTTATGTTATACCGCCCTCACTAATCGTACTGTATGACCATTTGTGAAAATATCTGTTCTTGCAATGTTTACATTAAACAATTTATTTGCATACATGTTTAACTTTGGCTTTCTGTCCATTATGTTAGTTGTGGTTCCATCCCTCATATTTACTCTTTTCTTGGTCCAAATCTTCTGGAAGCTGGTGTCTTCGACAATGCCCCCAGGGCTTCATTGGTATCTAGTATAATGATAGATAATGGCTAGGTTAGGGCTGGCTCTAAAGCCAGACTTGACTCAAGTTTCTTACATGGCTTGAAAATGTTGAGAGTCCACAATTATGGGGGTTGACCTATCTCACCCAGCGGAAATCATCAAGCTTAATCCTTGGTTAACTGTTGTTGGTCGCAATTTGGTCACAGGGTACAGTGAGATAGAATGGTGTTAGTGTACCAATGTCAGCCCAGGTCAACACAAGGTCAGCCCAGGTCAACACAAGGTCAGTCTGGCTACTTTGCCTGGTTTGAGCTTTCTGAGTTTGAAAGCGCTTTCAAGTCATGCGTGTGTGAATCCAGGCTTGTTCAGACTAAAAATTTGTTGAACTGCCAGGCTTGACACTTAAATGCTCTGGTATTCAACCCTGGGCCCGTGGGCCAACTCCGACACCACCAAATAGATTGATCCGGCCTGCGCAACATTAAAAAGTAAATCATTTTCCGGTTGATTTTTAGAAAAATGTTTTTCTGTTTATAGATATACATAGACACCTACTCTAGCATTGTTTACAAGAAAGAGTGCAACTTTTCTTGAGTCTCACAGTATCTAGTGGCGTGGGGTATTAACATAGGGAGGGGGAGAATAATGGGGATAATGGATTTAGTGGGCCGCTGATGTAATGCGATGCTCAACAATTTGCAGCACCAGCAGGCTCGGGACATGTTATTCTGTTGCAAACACTGCTTTGAAAACTTAACTTTGAGTCTGAAAATGCCATTTCCAGGTATCTATAATAAAAATTTGCCCACCTGAACCCCAACCAATGGTGAGTGGATGTTTTTGTGGTAGGAAGATTCCTAGTGGCAGGGTAGGAGAACCTGGAATGCAGGTTTTTGGGGGGTTTTTTTTAAAATTAAAAAGTAAAATGGAGAAGAAAAGAAAATTATATCTAAATTTAAGTCTGAGAGTACCATTTCCGTCCATCTAGAGTTGCCATAATAATAAAATACAAGTACACAATTTAAGGTAGCCCACTGCTTGTCTCAACAGATTGGAACTGGCCCCCCCACTCCCCCGCTTAAAATGGTTGAATACCTGGGCTCTGATGTGACTGTATCCAGTTGTTGTCTTATGTTGTCTAGATTGAGTTCTTTTCTATATGATCTCAATAGCATTTCTGACTGAAAGGAGATCTAGCTTGCACTGTTTTGTGCTTATGAACTTCAATATATAATAAAAATATTGGAATTGCTGGCTTCTACAGTACATAAAGTAAAGTATCAGCTTTCAGTTGAAATCAGAACAAGAAAATATTTAGCTCTCCAATTACCAGATGCCACAGTAATAATGTTTTATATTGTGAAACAAAGACAGTAGTAATTTAATTGAACCAGGACCCAAGGTGGGACACACTGCCTGGTACCAGCAGATAAGCCGCTTATGCACATGAAATCAAAGAACAGCTCACTCCCAACCTTAAGGGAATTTTTGAAAATTTTAAAATGAAGGGAAGATAGAATAGGAGACATCTGAGACTGCCATTTCTTGCCATCTAGAGGTGCCATAGACATAAAATTTTGTTCTATATTATTAGATTGTTATTAATTTCATCACTGTTTGAAATTAAATTTGGTATAATATCTATCATTATAATTGCACCTCGGGGTCCAAATCTCATTAAAGGATCATTGTTTTTTTTTCAGTGTCTGTAGTAACTTGTCCAGACCCTCCAAAGTTTGCAAATGCTACAATTAGTACTTCAGACTCAAGCATAGTACATTATCGGTGTGTGGATGGCTACCATAGCAATCAGGCTGCAACTTACATGGTGTGTGAGTCAGGAAAGTGGAGCGGGCCAGGTATTGCTTGTCAAGGTAAAAATAAACCTGTTTTTTCTTATGAAACTTCTTCAAATTATTATATAACTGTTGCGGGGAGGTTGGGGTGCCACTTTCACCACCCCCTGGATCTGCCACTGATAAGTGCAATTATAGATTGAGCAAGTTCTTCATTCACAACTTATGATGTCAGGTCATGGATCATGACACCGACACTTTAACATGATCTGACATATTCGTCATGCTCCAGTCTTCATGGTGATAGCTTTATGATGATTATCTCATTTATCAAATGTAGTAATGTCATAATACAATAATAAATAAAAATTTACAATCTTAGTATGTAAAAGAAATACAAACGTAGACCATAAATAACAGATGAAAATTCAATTAAAATCTTCAGACCTATACTTGGAATTTAAGGATTGAATACATAAGAACAGTAAAAATATTGCAAATGCGAGGATGGCTGAAACATCATTGATTTCGGGTGAAAATATCAGGAAGATTTTGGTTGGGAAAAAGATACTACGGATAAGAAATGCTACCATCTGATTGGTTGTGTATTAGAACTTCTGTTAACCGATCTTTATAGGGTCGATGGGGCGTTCACACATGCAGTGCTAACGGTTAGCATACGATCAGGATAAGAACGCTCTGTGACCCAGGCCACTGTTCATTTACAGGTTTATCTCTCAAATCTTTATTAAAAAGTAATGTGTCCACCTTTTAATTGATGGACACATAAAAAGCTATTCAATGGGAAGTAAATGGTCACTGTGGGTATATTAGCATTGAAAATACATTTTTTTTTTGTTTTGACATTGTATGGTACTCAAATTAATTCAAGTATGCTCTGCAATTTAAATCAGATTTTGAACAAAAATAATTGCTTAATTTCAATATGTTGTTATAAAGTAAGGAATTACTGGATGTTTGAATAATACCTTTCAAATTCTTGCAAGCATGCTGTATATTTCTTAAATATCTGGAAGCAAATTGAATGAGTTCGATAGTTAAAATTCTGCAAATTTATAAACTGCTTTTTTTGTGTGTGCGTTACGCAATCTTGTAAATGAGCAGTTCAAAATTGTATATAAAATTTTTTTTTTCTTAAATTTTTTGGATGTCCATGTTAACTTTAATACACTTTAATTTGGAATTCTGAGAATCTTTAATTTCTAATTAAGGTAAACAGCTAGGCATTCACTGTGTAATCTATAAATATCTAATGTCATGAAACATTCAGATGCCATATACTATCATTATATAATATTGCCTGTAGGAAAAATCTTATATTATTTCATATTTTATTCTCATCTCGTTCATTTTTGAAAAAAAAAGAAGTTATATACATAAATCATTATGTATTTGGCATTGTTAGTTGTCAAGAACTTAAAATGATGACATTTAAGAATAAAACTGGTGGTTAAGGATCAGAAAAAAATTGCATTGAAAACTAATACGTACATTACAAAACACATAGATTATGTTACAGTAAAATCATCTATGTTAGCTTGCATCAACATACAGTATGTTCAAAATTTGTAATAAAATTTCTTTATGCCTTTCTTGCGAACCCACTGACTGCTGATACTGATGATTTTGAATTACAGTAGAACCCCCTCTTTGCGACACCCCTGTTAAGGGGACACCCCTATTAAGTGGAACACTTTTTCGGCCACACAGTAAGGAAATTATGATCTTTTAATACTACAGCCAACACTTATATTGGGAAAACCCCTGTTAAGGGATAATTTTGATCCCAAAGTGTCCCCTTAAAAGGGGTTCCATTGTATTATAAAATTTTATTTTTAGTTTGCTGGGCACTTCTGTTGTCAAAATTGGGATGGATAAACCTTCTTGAAAATATCATCTTGTATTAAATAATTCTGGATACAGTATATTTGCACAAGCCTCAAGTTGGATCTTAATATTGACCTCTTCTCTGCATAACATTTTCCATATATTTTCCATAATTCTGCTTTTTGAGCAGTTAATGTAACTTGATAAGGTGAACGATTCTCTCATAAATACTTGTGTGCTTATATTTTTAGGATAATAAACCAAGGTGAAAATATTAAGTTTCAACAAAAAGTTGGTGTGCAATCGATTGTGAAGAACACTGCATAATATTAGCCTGTAAATAATAAATTGGCAAATACAAAACTAAATAGAACTTTATTTTTTACTGATGTTTAACATTTTAAATGATACAACAATGTAATATATACAGTAAACTGATTTCTACTATTTATGATATCATATGTGATATACATAAAATATAGCATATAATATATAATTTTCAAGTTTAGTTTTATTGTAATATTGTACACAAAAACTGGAAATTCTCTTCTAAGATACAGTATTTCAACCAATAGAAATAGTTAGAAATTAAAGTTATCACATTTATTAGGTTCAGTCATTGAATGTTTATGATTGTAGGCTAATTCACTGCTTTAAATTTGCAATTATAGAATATAATTTTTTTTATATTACCCCGTAATATAGACAGTATATCGTAAACTTATTGGTTTTAAATTCAGATTTAGAAACTCAGTCGATGTAAAATGCCAGATGGATTGTCCGATTATGTAGGTTCAACGAAGCTTAGCTGTATGACTTCACAATTTAAGACCATATCTTGCTCACTAAAACTATTTATCATTATTACTTTGAAAGACGTTGAAAATAAAGATAGTTATGAAATATAGTAAGCACACGATCCTGGTTGATTGAGAGGCCATGCTAGATTCATTTTACTAAAGCTTATGTTTCATATTTTATATTTGATATTAGTTTAACTACACCTATTATTTATGAGGTACTTTATAACCTTCCATTCCATCTCATGTATAATCTTTTCTTGTACTGTAGCTTCCAATAATGTTTAACTTACAAGCAATATTAATCAGTATACAATATTTTATTTGGTGAAAATTGTAATAAAAGGGGAAAAAATTGCATTGCCCAAGCCCGCCCAAAATAAAATCCTGAAACTTTAGGGTTGGTTTTTCACAAGTAGGTTCTCCACATACTTGTATAATGTTTGAGAGGGGGTACTTTTGAAGCCATAATTGATTAATTTCATAGTTTAACCATAGGTTTTCACCCATAGGTTAACATTTTACCAGTAAGAATGCTTACTGTAGGGTGACGATACCTGAACATTGCCAGGGCCTAGCTACCTGTAATGATATTCTACCTATTAAGCAAGAATATTACAAGCATTAGAAAAGAGAGGCAGCTAAACTATAAACAAGACTCGGGTACACAAACACTTCAAGAACTTGTGGTAAAATTAACTTAACTTCAGTGAGAAAGTAATAATGTATAATGAATCAACTCCAAATATTAAGAAAGTATGTTTTCACAAAGGCAGATACTGTAGATCTACAAGTATTGTTATAATTATTATATTTAGTTACTTAAAATAATAAATGTTAGCCTTGCACTTCATGCCAACAAGGCCTCTAAACAATTCATATTATTATCCCCAGCCATTGGATCAAGTACATATGGAATACATACTCAGCTCCCAGGGGAGAATTCCATAATGTTACAGCTGTAATTAGGGCATTTTGTGTTAGACCTGCCAGGTACCCCTTGTAGTCTGTGGAGAGAGACATCCGTAGGTAAAGTGCCTTACCTAAGGATACAAGCAAAATGCACAGAGAGGGATTGAACCTCCGACCTCAAGGTTCAATCCCTCTCTCAAGGTTCAATCCTACAATGAAGGATTTATTTCTAGTTCAACAAACTCCAATATTAGATATGAGTTTGCTCATACATGATGAATGGTATTATTCATAAATGTCATGTATTACTCTATGGTACTTTTATTCCACTGGTGCCAAGATTCTCCATAACCTCTGTAACAAAAGCCGCTCGCTTTTATTGGTGTTTGCAATTAAGTGACACTACAGAAAAAGTGCTCCAATTTGATCGCACAGAATTAAACGGCTTGGTGTAAATGAGAGTATTCACTACGGACCATTGGTCGCGCGCTGTCCGACAGATTGTTGGTTATCCACGTTCTATTAGTGACACATTTAGGTTCAAATGTATTTTAACGTGGTGTCATTACGACATGTTTTATTTCTGATAGGAAAACCATTTTTTTATACTACTGTAGCTATGTTTTACTTTTCCCAAGTGGAACATTGCATATTTTTGGTAAATCTACAAAGGGCTATCTTTTATTTGTCATGAACATGAATAAATTTACAGTCAGTGAAATATTTCTTTTTGAAATTTTCATTCCCACTTAAACAATGAAGTCTCATTTTAATAAAAGATCAGATTTAAACCGTGAGGAAAAAAATATTCTGATTTTTGTTAAGATTTGAACCAGAAATTTTGGTTTGTTAAAGCAAGCATACTAACAACAAAGCTACTGTTCATTTTATTATAGCCACATTTTTTGTGTTTAAAGATACTTCATGGTATAAATTTGAATATTTTGCAATAAAGAGTTTGTCATTGTCATAGTCTTGCTTATCATTTTTGTCATTATCTTCATCGTCTCAAGGATAGATGGTCACACCCTAGCCTCTGCTCTCAATTCTTCAGTCGTTTTTTAGAGATATTATATTTTGATATGTGTTTTGAATACTTGGCTTAATTGAAAGCACATATTACCCGACGTGCCTAGATGTTTGATATTATTGAGACAATATTAATCAAGTTATTTCGTACAGAATATATTAAAATAACATTGCAACACCTCAGATATGATTATATACCCCAAGGGTACCATTTTAATGCTTTTAATATTAGCGCTACGCTGAAGCGTCCAAAAAGTGTTATATTTTTGCAGAGAGGTGCTTATCGGGTCGTATGCAGTAATTAGTTGGTATTGTTGATAATTTTCTATTAATGCAATCATTCAGATAATAGGAAACTTGTATCTCTATACCATTTTAAAAAGGCTGTAGATCATCTTAATAAACATTATTTTGCATTTCAATTGGGTGTACAAGAAGTTTATTTACACTCCGCTTGAACCAGCTGAGTTCTATTCTGAAGGGCATCTACCAAGAAGAGAGTTCCTCCACAAACCTATTCAGTATTTTTTTTCTCTCGTACTTACCTATGTTGATCTCTCTCCACTTAAGTGTAGAAACACATAACTAGATAGTAGAAATACTAATGATGACTAGAGGATATTGTGCATTGTATGTGATTGTAATACTTGCTTTGAACATGGTAATGGTGATGAGTACTTAGAGACATTTAGTGGAAAATTTTATTGCCATGTCAAAGATTATTTCTATTATTATTAATGGAGTAGTTGAAAGTACAGAAAAATATTGCAGTGGGCTATTTATCACATGACCAATGATCCAATCAATCATGTACTCAGTTTCTGATTGGTGGATACATCATGAATAATCCTAACCTCCCCATCTCCATCCTTCTATGTTTGTTCTTAAATGAATGGTGTTGGAACATCATTTATTTTAGTACATCATGTTATAATGACAGTTGGTCACCCGGATCACATGATTAAACCTCTGAGCTGTTCGAACTAGCAACATGGTTTTAAAAGACACAGAGATGCACATTCCCTCACACAATTCCACCCCCACACACACACACATGCACACACACACACACACGCTTATGTTGTGTTGTTCTATTCATGTGCAAGACTGTGAAAGATCAATTGCTTCAGATCGGGTTTGAATTTCCAACCAAACCCCAGTGGTCCAGTTGGTTAAAGTGCCTGCATAGGCAGCAAAAGGTCCTCGGTTCGAATTCCAGTTGGGACACTGTGGTGCTTATATGTACCACAGCAACATTGAATCTATGTGTTACTTCAGTGTATATGTTTGATTCCATACTCATAACCGTATTCATTACCGTTTTACAGTATTACATAATATACACGCTCGGATTGCTACATGAAAATTCTTAAAGATACAGTAATATAATACCTGAAATTTACAAAGAATACTGAATTATCCATACTCAAACTAAAAAGCATTCATAATTTTAAACACTCAATACGGATATTAACTGTGAAAACTAATATTAAAATATATCTAAATTCAATTTTTCAGTTTCAATTTATAAATATGTAGTATGTGTTATTGTTATCAAGCTGGTAACACCTTATCACCACTCAAACCTCTATAGGTTTGGCTTGATCTTAGTCACATGACCTGATCACATGATTGTAACATGGGTAATCATGTAGTGTGTGTGTGTGTGTGTGTTTCATGACACCTTAACACCACCAAAATCCCTATGGCTTTAGATTTATATTAGTCAAAGTAGCCTCGTGATTGATAATGAGTGTACATTGTATGTATTACATATTGTGTGTTCAGTCGATGAACCAGTTAAGCTGTCCTTTCTGGTATGAGGTGGCATTAGATGAAGGATGATTATTGAGAATGAAGTAATTGACATTAAACTGTCAGCTAGCTTTGATGATTGAATGTTGTGGTTTGCTCGATGGACAACTATGCAGTGTCAACAGTTCAAATGCAAACTAAGTTATTAAATGAACTGAAATGTTCATGTACCTAACGAGATGAAGGATGATACCTAACGATATGAAGGATGATTATTGAGAATGAAGTAATTGACATTAAACTGTGAGCTAGCTTTGTTGATTGAATGTTGTGGTTTGCTGCCGTAGATACGATGGACAACTATGCAGTGTCAACAGTTCAAATGCAAACTAAATTATTAAATGAACTGAAATGTTCATGTACCTAACAATTTATTATTTATGCTCTTTGTTTCATACTGTGAGGCATGTGTATGTAATAAGTATATATAAATTATGATGAAATAGAGTTAAACTCTAAACTGTCTTGCGGTAATGCTACAGTATATAGATAAATAAATTTTCAACATTAAATGAAAGTATATGCGAGTGTGAAAAATTAGGTGCCCTGACCGGGTTCAAACCCGGTATTTCTAAGAATTTATACCAAATAAATAAAAAAGATGGACAAAACATTGTACAGTAATTTATGGATAATGATATTTAATGTGCTGTAGAAATGCGTAATCACAATGTCTCCACATTTTAAAAAACTGGGCTGCCAAATAAAGAGGGTTCAAGATCGATGCTCATCACACTGCTTGTTTCCTTGGGCAAGACACTTCATCTACGTTTTATTTCTCATCACCTAGGAGTATAAATGGGTACCTGGTAAGAGGTGAATGATTCAGAATGAAATTACTGGTGCTGATTACACACTCGTATAACTAGGAATATTTCCCAAGGAGTGCAACAGGTTGCATGTTGTGTATCATTGATTCTGTATGCCTTAAGCAGTTCTTCCATAATTTGATGTGTACTATATAAATCTTATATAATAAAAAATTAAATAATAAGAGGGTCACAAGATTCTTATAGACTTTCTTGAATTTGAATTTTTTATTGGTAGAGAGTGTAATTTTTATGTGACTGTATATGGGCATGATAATGTCATATTACATCCAAATATGGGCATATTACTTTTATTTTTCACATATAATTTGGTACCGTGGAAAGAGCGTAACTATTATTTCTGAATTTACTTTTGTTTTCCAATTATTGACTCATTTTGAATATCTGTTCCCCTGAGAAGGGGGTTGCAGCGAAGTCGCGTAGGTTTTTCTTTGGGTCATCAGTCAAAAAGTTTTAGAACCATGACCTACATGTATGTTACTATAAGCAAACATGCCAAAAACCAGGCACTCGCCGCAACGCCAAGACGTGCGCATAACAGAAGGTTTTTTAATGACGATCCGTTAAGTCTGCCACCGACAATCAGCAGACAGCATCGCATAGTCTAATGTTTACAGTGAACGGAGTTGGATACTTTGGCCGACGGTCATTCGACTTTACACACTTGATTACTTGGAAGTATCACACTAGCGCTGATGATTGTTAGGACGTGCACATGCTGTGTCAGCTACAAATGGCTCTATCTCTATTCGACCACTTTACAACTGATGTCTGCCAATTGTGAACGGCAATCCAAACAGATTGTCAATAAAATTAGTAGTTGCACATGCTTTGGCGTGTTACAGTCTTCATGGAATTGCATCGGCCGACTATCCTTGTCCGCAGTGTGTGTCCATCCTTAGGTGTAAATCACCTAAGGAAATTAGCTAAAATAAAGTCGTCATACAAGTGCAAACCATAGCTGCTGCTTCTACAGTAGCAACCTTACTCCTCCTCTGAACTTGCTTACTGAGAAGCTTGTTTATATTTAATTTTTTCCAGAAGATGTTGCGGAAAAAGCTGATGGCAATGATTCTGGATTTGTGGGATCACAATCACCAAGAGTTAGTCGAAGTTGTAAGTAATTGATTGCTGCTATACAATTGTTCAAAAATATTCTGCTTAAACCGGTTTTATCCACTCTGCAGGGGTCCCAATTCTCTTGCGAGTTGTTGGATTCTCAATTGACTTACTATTGCATATCATATTTTGGAAGAGACGTTTAAGCTGTTGATGCTGTGTGTGGGGTGTAGGTTCTAAATTAACAAACTTGGAAGAAGTTGAGGATTGTCTCTCAGTGTAAGTCAGAACTACTGTACTCTTTGTGGTACATTGGCAAATATAACAGTACTTTTATTGATGATCAGCAGTAAGCTTTCTGGCCAAGGATGATAAGTGAGCCGCACAATGGGTTTTGAAGTACTTTCGCGATTCCCTTGATTCCCCTGGTAAGAGGTCTGGACCACCAGTTCAGCCAACTGAGCTAAGATCCTCTTACTCTGCTATAAAATATTATCAAGAATAATGTACTAGGCTACAATGTAGTGACTTGACTACCGTACATTCACTTTTGATGATTTTCTTTTTATAGATTCTTTGTTGTGGCTGATGGCAAGCTTTCTGTTGCTAATTCTAATATTATTAGTTATTTATGATATCAGGAAAAGAGCATACAGGTGAGATGATTACATTCACATCAATAATAATAATAATAATAATAATAATAATAATAATAATAATAATAATAATAATAATAATAATAATAATAATAATAATAATATTATTATTATTATTATTATTATTATTATTATTATTATTATTATTATTATTATTATTATTATTATTATTATTATTATTATTATTATTATTATTAGTATTATTAGTATTATTTTATTATTATTTTATTATTATTTTATTATTATTATTATTATTATTATTATTATCATTATTGATGTGAATGTAATCATAAATAAAAATAATAAAATTATATATATTGTTTACATAATATCAGTATTATAAACATCTGCAAACCATTTGTAGCAACATTGATAAAGATAAAGAACGCAATATTAATCAGTGTTGGATTCAATTCCCCTCCCCCAAATTTTTCAAAATTATAAAAATAATGGAGAAAAAAAAAGAATTATAATATAATATCTAAACCCTCTATTTGTGGAAGTCTCTTCCTGCCATTTTTTAATTCCAGGATCTGCCACTGTTAGTATTAATTTTAATTGAATCGTTTTTATTTCCACATAATTATCCTATCCCCAAGTGGACACTAATTTGATAGAGTGCCAGTATTCTTTGCAGCTTTTGTGCAAAAAGCTCAAAGATGTTGTTCACACTGGAAGTAATATCTTGTTTCTGGGCGAGCTTAATGCACATGATGAACTTTAACCTATTTTGCTCTATGGCATTCATCATCATTAACAGCATCAACATCATTAAAACATCATCACAATAAAACAATATATTTCATAATGTAATAATAATTTTCTACACAAATTTATATGCTATTCATTGATAGTAAAGTATAGTAGAATTGTTATATCTTCACACAAGGTTATCTAGGATATTGCACCAACTAGCAGAACACACTACTGGCATTAGAGTGGCATTATTATTATTGCTTCGTTTTACAAAATTCCACAGACATATGCACTTAGCGATCATAGCACACTGCAGCGTGAGAATAATTACCACAATTCTATTATTGATATCCCAGGTTGCATTGCAAGCCGGTTCGTTTCAATTGCGCCAAAGGTAAAGACATCGAGGGCGAGTTGCAGTTATTGAATCACGATGTCGTCAATCAGCAACATGAGTCCGCATTACAAGAGCCAGACACACCGAACAGCTCCTGGCCTGCATAACAAAATTTTTCATAAAGATAAAATACAGTGGTACTCTACATATATTTCTGCTCATAAACAGATTTTTTAAAGGTGTAATTTTTATAAGCGTGTTTAAGGAATGAAATAATTAAATATCTTTTTTGAAACTGATAATTGCTTGAAGATGGATGTTAGTTTAAAATTGAATAATGATATTTTTATTATTTTTTAGTACACTGTTTTTCAAATTCTTTTTAAACATTTTACCTTTTGACCAGGCATATGATGAAACTTAGCACAATTTTTTTTTAAATGCATAAGTTGCAGGCAGTGGCGGCACCAGCGGGTTGGCAGGGGACTTAAGCCCCCCACCGGACAGGTCAAGCCCCCCCCCTTGCCGGACAGAGCTTGTCAGGCATTCAGTCCATAAAACATATAAAAATAGGCCCACACCAAGCCAACACATGTCTGTCACAGTCTAAGAG